CAAGCAAGAAATAACTCTAGGATATAAGGTAAATGTGAGGGCTTATCAAAGTGAGTAGAAGTCTTTAATAAGCTTAATTTACAATACATTTCGCAAACTACAGTTTCGCAAACTACAGATTTCGCAAACTACAGTTTCGCAAAGTACAGTTTCGCAAACTACAGATTTCGCAAACTACATTTTCGCAAAGTACAGTTTCGCAAACTACAGATTTCGCAAACTACAGTTTCGCAAACTACAGATTTCGTTTCGTTTCGTTTCGCAAAGTACCATAAGCCGCTTAATTTACAATACATTTCGCAAATTACAGTTTCGCAAACTACAGATTTCGCAAACTACAGTTTCGCAAACTACAGATTTCGTTTCGTTTCGTTTCGCAAAGTACCATAAGCCGATAAACAAAAGCCTTGAAAAATCTTATTGGACATCGGTTACCACCTGTTGCGAACATTTTGGGTTGGACAGCTCTATGTTTCTTCCTGAGGCCTCCTTGTCGTGTCTTTGTTGGACTTTCTTCAAAGGTAAGAAATTCGGCGAAGAAATTGCATAAGACTTTGTCCAGTTCAATGTCTTGGGGAGAAACAGTGGCAAGTCGTTCAGACACTTTTCTGGTATAGAGAAGTGGTCACCATAGCAACCACTGAAATACCACTATTAAGGATAAATACCACTCCTCTAAGCCAATCAAATTGCACAATTTTTTACAGAGGATTGTGATTCTTCTACTCGATTTGAGGAGGTTCTTGACGCTTCAATGGATCCAGCTGGAACCAAGGCATTCGACAGGACACCAGAGCATCTTTCCCTGTTGGATAGACGACCTTCAATTGTAATGTGCGACACTTTGCTCACTTCCATGGCCATATATGTTCATATTATGTCTTGTAGGAACTTCGACAACCGAACACAAGGTAATGCTGGTGGCTCTTACACAATTGTTTGTGTACGTTTTTGACAACTCAGCGCCGATGCTCATATTCTTCATTATCTGGGACAGTGTCCCAACGGGTTGTTTTCATACCATGTCGTTTCTTGGGCTAGTACTCTTTGTTTTGGTTTCTGGAAGAAGGTGGTTTGGTTGGGAATAAGCTTTGACAAGTACTCTTTGAAGCACCAGAATGAATCGCCTTGTTCGTCTGTAGAGTAAAGCCTGGTGAACTTTTCGTTGCCGTTCATTAGTAGCAATTCCAGCCTGGTGGTTCTTGGATGACTCTTCGTGTGTCATATCGAATGATGTACTCTCTCCCATTGACATCTTTTTCCACGCAAAAACTAGCGCTTTTTAGCTGCCTTTGATCTTCCACCTACGGCACCAGTACAGTGTTACTATAATCCAAATCCGATAAAGTAAACCGGTTGGACTATCGGCGGACAAAAATGGACTACTCTGCATCTTGGTGATATCCGATGGCTCAATTACAGGCTCGTGTTTTGCTTTCTCATTTCTCTTCCGTCTGTTAGCTCTAAGCGCAGAATCTAGCATTTTGTTGGACGACTGGAAGAAAAAAAGAAAGAATTTTTCAGATATGCTCGAGTCGAGGATCGAACCTGGGCCCCAGTTGGATTATGTGTCCCTTGGGATTGCAAAACTGCGACGAGGGAAAAAATATAGAAATACAGTCGCTGCATTTTATAACTCGGTAAAAAGTTATGACTTCTGAAGGCACAATTATAGCGGAGCTCCAGCGCGGGCCCAAGGCCCGCGCGAGCGGAGCACMATAGCTAAGTAAAAATGGTATATCATCGAGTCGATTTTCCATGGACCGACACAGGGCTCCCGCGCGTATGCACGTTTCCTTCCGTCCGTCCTTCCGTCCCTGTACCACCACAGGAAACCCATACTCCGYTCGAAAAGRAAAYAAAGCGCCAAGTATTTGKTGAAAAATCGAAATTTTTTCCTTAAACATTTTTATTATATAAATATTAGATAAATGTTTGAAGGCAAACTTTCACCGTTTTAATAGATATTTTTGCGCTTTTTTCTTTTCGCACGGAGTAGGGTTTCCTGTGGTGGTTCAAGACGGAGGGAAGGCGTACGAAGGAAACGTGCGTAAGCGCGTAAGCCCTGTGTCGGTCCATGAAAAATGGACTGGATGGTTAAACATTTTTTCATAGCTATGGTGCTCCGCTCCGAAATCAGATGTATTATACCCATTACAAAAGGCCATACATGATATATCAGCGATCGGACAATTGTTTTGCTATTTATGAAGAACCAAATACATGATAAATATGCTAATGTCGTTACTATCATTAATAATTATATATCTGACTTGTATGAGAAAATAC